ACAGACTCCACCAGAAGCCTACTAGAACTGATCTAAGAATTCAGCAAAGTTGCAGGGTACAAAATCAACATACAGAAATTGTTGCATCTTTATACACCAATAATGAAGCAATAGAAAGAGAAATCAAGAAACTGATCCCATTCACAATTGCACAAAAAAACCATAAATTACCTAGGAATAAACCTAACCAAGGATATAGAAGATCTGTATGATGAAAACTATAAAAAACTTACGAAGAAAACTGAAGAAGACACAAAGAAATTGAAAAACATTCCATGCTCATGGGTCGGAAGAATATTGTTAAAATGTCATCACTACCCAAAGCCATCTTACACATTCAATGCAATCTCAATCAAAATTGCACCAGAATTCCTCTCAAAACTAGAACAATCAATCTTAAAATTTGTATGGAATCACAAAAGACCCCAAATAGCCAAAGTAATATTGAAGAAGAAAACCAAAATGGGAGGCATCACCATCCCAGACTTTAGCCTCTACTACAAAGCTGTCATCATCAAGACAGTATGGTATTGGCACAAAAAACAGACAAATAGACCAATGGAATAGAATAGAGAACTCAGAATTGGACCCAAAAGTATACAGCCAACTAATGTTTGACAAAGCAGGAAAGAGTATCAAGTGGAAAAAAGACAACCTTTTTAACAGATGGTGTTGGGAGAACTGGACAGCAACATGCAGAAGAATGAAACTAGATCATTATCTCACACCATACAGCAAAATAAACTCAAAATGGATAAAGGATCTGAATGTGAGACAGCAAACCATCAAAACCCTAGAAGAGAAAGCAGGAAAAAACCTCCTTGACCTCAACTCAGCAATTTCTTACCCGACACATCCCCAAAGGCAAGGGAATCAAGAGCAAAAATGAACTACTGGGACTTCATCAAGATAAAACGTTTCTGCACGGCAAAGGAAACAATCAGTAAAACTAATAGGCAGCTGACGTAATGGGAAAAGATAGTTGCAAATGACCTATCAGATAAAGGGCTAGTATCCAAAATCTATAAGGAACTCATCAAACTCCATACCCAAAAAACAAATAATCCAGTGAAGAAATGGTAAAAGATATGAATAGACACTTCTCCAAAGAGGACACCCAGATGGCCAACAGACACATGAAACGATGCTCAGTGTCCCTCATCATCAGCGAGATACAAATCAAAACCACACTGAGATACCACCTCACGTCGGTCAGAGTGGCTAAAATGAACAAATCAGGAGACTCTAGATGCTGGCAAGGATGTGGAGAAATGTGCACCTTCCTATTCTGTTGGTGGGAATGTAAGGTGGTACAGCCCCTCTGGAAAACAGTGTGGAAGTTCCTCAAAAAATGAACAATAGAACTCCCCTATGACTCAGCAATAGCACTGCTAGGAATTTATCCAAGGGATACAGGAGTGCTGATGCATAGGGGCACATGGACCCCAATGTTCATAGCAGCACTCTCAACAACAGTCAAAACATGGAAAGAGCCTAAGTGTCCATCAACGGACGAATGGATCAAGAAGATGTGGTTTATCTATACAATTGAATACTACATGGCAATGAGGAAGAATGAAATCTGGCCATGTGTAGCAACCTGGATGGAACTTGAGGGTGTTATGCTGAGCGAAATAACTCAGGCAGAGAAGGATAGATACCATATGTTTGCATGTATAGGTGGATCAGGAGGAAATTAACAGAGGACCATGGGGGAGAAGAAGGGGAAAAATAGTTGGGGAGAGGGAGGGAAGCAAACTATGAGAGACTCTTGAATGCTGAGAACAAACTGAGGGCTGAAGGGGGTGGGGGAGAGGGGAAGGGGGGTGATGGGTATGGAGGGGGGAACTTGTTGGGATGAGCACTGGGTGTTATACAGAAACCAACTTGACAATAAACTATTTAAGAAAAAAAAAATTCTTCATCATAATTTTTCATCATATGATGATGAACCTCATTCATCATAATACAACAATAGAGACTTTAATACACCACTTACAGTAATAGATCATCTAAGCAGAAAATCAACAAGGAAACCACAGCTTTCAATAACACACTGGACCGGATGGACTTATTTAGAACATTTCCTCCTAAAGCAGCAGAATACACATCTGTTTGAGTGCACTACGAACATCCTCCAGAATAGATCAGAAACTGGGTCACAAATTTGCCTTCATCTAGCACACAAAGATTGAGATCATACCATATGTAGTTTCAGACCACAATGCAATGAAACTTGAAGTCAACCACAGGAAAAAATATGGAAAGACCACAAATAACATGAAGAACATCCTATTAAAAATGAATGGGTTAATCAGGAAATTAAAGATAAAATAAAAAAGTACATGAAAGCAAATGAAAATGAAAACACAGCAGTCCAAACCCTTTGGGATGCAGCAATGGCATTCGTAAGAGAAAAGTATATTGCAATACAGGCCTACCACAAGAAGCAAGAAAAGTCCCAAATACACAACCTAACCCTAATCTAAGGGATCTAGAAAAGGAACAGCAAGTAAAGCCTAAAGACAGTAGAAGAAGGGAAATAATAAAGATTAGAGCAGAAATAAATGATACTAAAACAAACAAACAAACAAACAAAAGCTCCAGAGAACAGATCAATGAAACTAAGAGCTGGTTCTTTGAGAGAATTAATAAAAGTGATAAACCCCTAGGCAGACTTATCAGAAAGAAAAGAGAAAGGACCAAAACAAATAAAACCATGAATGAAAGAGATCAGAAACCACACCACAGAAATACAGACAAGTGTAAGAGAATATTATAGAAAATTATATGCTCCAAACTGGGCAATCTAGAAGACATGGACAAACTCCTAGAAACATACAAACTACCAAAACTTTTAACAGGAAGAAATAGAAAATGTGACCAGACCTATACCCAGCAAAGAAATTAAAATCATAATCAAAAATCTCCCAACAAACAAGAGTCCTGGGCCAAATAGTTTCCCAAGGGAATTCTACTAGACATTTAAAGAAAAGTTAATATATATTCTCCTCAAACTGTTTCACAAAATAGATATGGAAGGAAAACTTCTAAATTCATTCTATGATGCCAGCATTACCTGATTCTAAAACCAAACCAAGACCCCACTAAAAAGGAGAATTACAGGCCAATATCCCTGATGAATCTGGATATAAAAATTCTCGACAAGATACTAGCAAATCAAATCCAACAGTATAGTAAAAGAATTATTCACCATGATAAGTGGGATTTATTCCTGGGCTGTAGGGGTGGTTCAATATTCTCAAATCCATCACTATCATACACCACATTAATAAAAGAAAAGTACAAGAGCCATACGATCCTCTCAATAGATGCACAAAAAAGATTTGACAGAATATAAGATCCATTCTTAATAAAAAAACTCAACAAAGTAGGAATAGAGGGAACATACCTCAACATCATGAAGGGCATCTACAAATGACCCAGAGCTAATATCATCCTCAATGGAAAAAACTGAGAACTTTGCCTCTACAGTCAGGAACAAGACAGGTTTGTCCATTCTTACCATTAGTATTGAAGCACAGGACTGGAAGTCTTAGCATCAGCAATCAGACAATGAAAAGAAATAAAAAGCATCCAAATTGGCAAGGAAGAAGTCAAACATTCACTATTCACAGACAACATGATACTCTATGTAGGAAGACTCCACGAAAAAATTGCTAGAATACATGAATTCTGCAAAGTCACAGGATATAAAAATCAACATACAGGAATCTACTGCATTTCTATATACCAATAATGAAGGAGCACAAAAAGAAATCAAGGAAGTGATCCCCATTTGCAATAGCACCAAAAACTGTAAGATACCTAGGAATAAACCTAACCAAAGAGGTAAAAGATCTGTACTCTGAAAACTATATAACGCTTATGAACAAAACTGAAGAAGACACAAAGAAGTGGAAGAGCATTCCATGCTCAAGGTTGGAAGAACAAACATTGTTAAAATGTCTATACCACCCAGAGCAACCTACACATTCAATGCAATCCCTATAAAAATACCACCAGGATTTTTCACAGAACTAGAACAAATAATCCTAAAATTTGTAGAGTCACAAAAGACCCTGAATAGCCAAAGCAATACTGAAAAAGAAAATCAAAGCTGGAAGTATCACAATCTCAGACTTCCAGCTATATAACAAAGCTGTAATCACCAAGACTGTATGGTACAGGCACAAAAAGAGACACACAGATCAATGGAACAGAACAGAGAACCCAGAAATGGACCCACAAACGTATAGCCAACTTAATCTTCGACAAAGCAGGAAAAAATATCCAATGGAAAAAAAGACAGTCTCTTCAACAAACAGTGCTGGGAAAATTGGACAGTAACATGCAGAAGAAAACTTTTTGGAATTGCATAAATAAATAAACAGCTAGAGTTTGCAGGTATTAATAACGGGGAGGAAAGAGGCCCGAAAGCTATGGAAAACATCAAATATAAGATAACTGAAGCCAATTTCTACTACAGGACCAGTAAGTCAGACCAATAAGTGAAAGAGAAAGGTAACTATTAGAGAAAAACATACAAATGTAGCGCTGAGAAAGAATGGGTGAGCAAGTGCTCTACCCAAAGGAAGAGTGCAAGATTTAGAGTCAGTTTAGGGGCCGTCAATTCATATAAATGTACAGAACTAACAGTACTACTTGGTATGTGGGGCACTGAACAGATCAGCAACATGACACTAGTGGATTTCCAACTCTTGGCTTAGTAAGTCATTGATGGCATCGTTGTAGTCTTCCTTCTTCTTCTTTTTTTTTTTTTTTGGAAGACTTTAGTAAGAAAACAACTGATATCTTTCACTATAAAAGTCAAAACTACAAAAAATGTTCTTCATGTAGTATCTCAGATTATTTTTGCAGAGAATGAATGTTTAGTATATCGATATGCAACTTCTCTTTGACACATCATATAACTGAAATTCTTGCTGGACTGTCATCCTTGCTAAATTACAAAAGTATAAAGCAAAGAACTGGCATACCTGTATTTCTTCACGTTCTTTTTTATCTGGAAAAGTTCTTGCAACTGTAGTATACTTTTCAAAAACTTTGCGTTCCTTTTGTAGCTTCCTCATTTCCTCCTTCTTAAACTCTTCTATCCGAGCCAGTTCTTTTGCTTTCTGTTGTTCAAAGTCTGTAATTTCTTTCCTAAAATGACCAAACCATGTTATCACCTAAAGGGACCAACTTAATGGAGTAATCCACATGTGGTACAAAATGGAACACCAGGGACAGCCTGGAATGGAGGAGCTGCTGGTCTTGCTGAATCTGTCTTCAATCCATCGTACTGAAAACTGTCAATTAATTCCATGAAGCATTCCTCCAATAAATATTCACTGAGCATCTGCTATGAATCAAGCACTACCCTAGGTACTGGAGAAACCACAGTAAAAAGCAAACATCCTTATTCCCATGAAGTTTTTCATTCTAATGGGAGAGACAGAGAATAATAAATAAGATAAAATATATGGCACATTAGAGAAGTGTTAAGGAGAAACATAATGCAAGTAATGAGGGTAGGAAATATCAAGGACATTCAAATTATGTATGGGATCATCTTGCTGAGACAATATCTGAAGTGAAACCAGAAAGAATTGAGAGAACAGCCACAATTATATATGGACAAAACAGCTCAAGAAGAAGGAACAGCGCAGCCAAAAAGCCCGGAGACAGGAATATGTCTGATATGTCCAAAATCAGCCAGGAGGGCATGTAGCTAAAACAGAGTGAGCAAGTGACAGAACAGCAGGAAAAAGTGTCAAAAAGCAAATAAAACAGAGGGCCAGATGAATTCAGGTCTTACAGACCAGTGCGGGGACTTTGGTGTTCAGCTTAGGAGAATGTTGATCAGAGGAACTGTCATAATCCAGGTGCATTCCGTTGCTCTGTTAAGAACATACAGAGAGTGGGGCGCCTGGGTGGCTTAGTCGGTTAAGCATCCGACTTTCACTTAGGTCATGATCTCGCGGTTCGTGGGTTTGAGCCCCGCGTCGGGCTCTGTGCTGACTGCCAGCTCAGAGCCTGGAGCCTGTTTCAGTCTGTGACTCCCTCTCTCTCTGACCCTCCCCTGCTCACGCTGTCTCTCTCTCTCCTAGAAATAAATAAAAAAAAAAAAAAAAAAAAAAAAAAGAACATACAGAGAGTGACACCAGCCAGATAGTGGAATAGGGTGTCCCCGGCTCACACCTCCCTACACAAACAACAATCTGGCCGCCATCCACAGATAAACTGCTTTTGTGGAAGCTCTAGGACCCAAGGAGGAGGTTGAGAAACCCCAGTGAAGCCTAAGACTGAGGACAGCCACTTTGAGAAGACAGTCCCATGCCCCAGTGGCAGGCTAACCAAATGTGGTCCTGGCTACAGGCCTAAAACAGCCCAGTCTGTAGGCTCAACTCCTGCCCCATCTGCCAAAGGACCCAGGAGGAGCCACGCCCAACTGTGTCCCTGGTAAAAGGCCCACAGACCTCAGTCATGACTACAAAATCTGAAACTGTCCTGTAACCTGGCTCCAGCCTTGCTCTATCACGGTGCTAGAGTCAGTCCTGCTCACCCAGGGACTCAGCAGGACACTGAGGAGCCTAGCAGGAAGATGCTCAAAAGCAGGCAGGAGCCATACCCATTCTGCACACTCAACAGTGGACTGGAAGCAGCCCCAGGATACGGCTTCAGCCCTGCTAGACTGTGGTCCTAGAAGCAGGACCAACTAGGATCTGGTAGGAACCACACCCACCATGTTTCTGTTAACAGACCTGCCAATTAGGGACCCAATTAGTGGACTAGCAGTAGCCACACAACACCCCCACTCAACTCTGATCCTGGAGACAGACTGTCAGTCCAGGGATCCAGCGGGAGAAGTTCTTTACCTATCTGTAAAGACAGAAAGAGGTCTTTGCCCTTTCAAATGCAAAAACATTAACACAAGAATTAGGCAAATGTGACACCACCAAAGGAAATGAGTAAATTAGAGTAAATTAATAAAGCGCCAGTAACCAATCCCAAAGAAATGCAAATCTAAGAACTGACTGACAAAGAATTCAAAATAATTGTTTTAAAGGGCAAACTACAAGAGAACACAGATATACAACTCCACAAAATCAGGACAATGATACCTAGAAAAAAAAACCCACACAAGTTCAACAAAGAGATAGAAATCATTAAAAACAAACAAACAAACAAACAAAAATGCACACACACCATAATACTCACTTTAACTAAACAAATAAAACTTAAGGGGCGCCTGGCTGGCTCAGTCAGAAGAGCATGTAACTCTTGGTTTCAGGGTCAGGAGTTCAAGCCCCATGGAAGGCGTAAAAAACTAAAACAAAAACAAATTCTAGAGCTAAAGAATACACAACTAAAGTGTAAAATACAATAGAGAACTTCAACAGCAGACTTAATCAAGCAGAAGAAAGAATGTGAACTCAAAAACAGATAATCTGAGGTTAGCCTGTCAGAGAAGAAAAAAGAAAAAGAATGAAAAAGGGTGAAGAAAGCCCATGGGATCTATGGAGCACTACAAAGGAACCAATACACTCATTATGAAAGTCTCAGAACAAAAAAAAATGAAATCAACAAATCCCTGTGAAGACTAAGAAAGACAGAATACTCAAAATCATAAATAAAAGAGGACATGTTACAATAGATGCCCCAGAAATAAAAAGGATTGTATTATGAACAATTATATCCCTAAATCTGAATAATCTAGAAGAAACAAATAAATTCCTAGAAACATACAACCTACCAAAACTGAATCTAGAAGAAAACAGGAAGCCTGAATAGACCCATAAGGAGATTAAATCAAAAATCAAAAACCTCTCAAGAAAGAAAAGGTCAGGACCAGATGGCTTCACAGGTAAATTCTAGCAAACTTTCAAAAAATAATTAATACAATGCTTCCTGAACTTCTTCCAGAAAAAAGAAGGAACACTTCCAAACTCGTTTTATGAGCAAAGAATTACTTGGACACCAAAGCCGGACAGTGACACTGCAAAAAAATTACAGCCCAGTATCCCTGATGAACATATGATGTAAAAATCCTCAATAAATACTAGCAAATCCAACAGCACATTAAAAGGATTTACACCATTACCTAGTGGGATTCATACCTGGACTATAAGGCTGGCTCAACATATCAAATCAATTAATGTGATGCCAACTGATGCAGCCACTGTGTAAAAATCTGGAATTTCCTCAAAAAATTAAGGATAGAATTAAAATTAATTATAGAATTACCATATGATCCAGCAATCCCAACCCTGGGCATACACCCAGAAGAACTAAAACTAGAGACCTGAACAGATATTTGTACACTGATGTTATCAGCATTATTCACAATAACCAAAAGGCAGAAACAACCTAAATGTTTAGCTGTAAGCCAAGAACTGCCAGGGATTGCCAGCAACATACTATGAAGACAGGATAAAAAACGTGGCTTCACTGGACACCTTGACCTCAGACCCTGGCCTCCAGAGCCATGACAAAATAAATTCCTGTTGTTGTTTTCTCTTTTTTATTTAAAAAAAAAATTTTTTTTAAATATTTTATTTCTGATAGAGAGAGACAGTGTGATCAGGGGAGGGTCAGAGAGAGAGGGAGACCCAGAATCCAAAGCAGGCTCCAGGCTCTGAGCTAGCTGTCAGCACAGAACCTGACACGGGGCTTGAACCCACGAACCGTGAGATCATGACCTGAGCCTAAGTGGGACGCTTAACCGACCGAGCCACCCAGGCACCCCAAATTCCTGTTGTTTTAAGCCTCCTAGAGTGTGTGTACAGTTGATCTTGAACAACATGGGTTTGAACAGCATGGACCCACTCATAATCAAATTTTTATAGTACAGTACTATAAATCTATGTTCTCTTCCTTATGACTGTCTTAAAATTTTCTTTTCTCTACCTTACTTTATCATGAGTATATGTATATAACACATAAAACAAACTAGGTGTTAACCAACTGCTATCAGCAAGGCTTCCAATCAACAGAAGACTATTAGTAGTTACGTTTTTAGGGAGTCAAAAGTTTTACGTGGATTTTCGACCGTGCAGGGGGTTGGAGCCCCTTACCTCTGCATTGTTCAAGGATGAACTGTACTTTGTTACATTAGCCCTAGAAAATTAATGCATTGGCCAAGGTAGCAATTGAAATCACAACTCCAAAATGCTTTTCCAAGTTTCAATTTATGAACTCATCACTAAAAGAATTCCCCTTTTAACACATTTCTGACCACAATGGGTCATTTTAATTAAAAAATTCTTATGTGGTGGGGTACCTGGGTAGCTCAGGCTCTGTGCTGACAGCTCAGAGCCTAGAGCCTGCTTTGGATTCTGTGTCTCCTTCTCTCTCTCTCCCCCTCCCCTGCTCTCTCTCTCTCTCTTTCAAAAATAAATAAATGTTAAAAAATATATAAATTCTTATGTGGTAAAGGTTTCCCTTCCTTTCCTTTTTATTACTGGATCGACAAAACTTGTTTCAAATATTCTATAGATATAATCTTAAAGATAAAAGTGAATCACTGTACCTTTTCCCAACTTATATGCAAACTTACCTAAGTTTTTCCAAGGCGCTTTCCCGTTCAACGCGAAGTTTAGCTAAAGATGTGTTCTCGGCTTTAAATTTTTCTATTTCTGTTTCCAATTCAATTACTTTCTCTCTCAAAACTTGAGATCGAGCACTGTCACCTATAAAATAGGCCATATAAACTGAACTTCACAAAAGGTCTTCAGCAGTAGAAACGACTTAGCTATTAAAACTCAGAGGCAAAAATATGGTAAACATCTGTGCTATTAAAATGCCCAAGAAACAGTGCCTCTAATAACAAAAAAAAAACTATATTAACCTGACTTTCCAGATGAAACCAATCTAAATTTAAAAAAGACATTATTCAACTGAAGAGTAACACTCTAATAATGAATTAACATTACATATAAAAAGAAATCATTCTCACAACTATTAACTTTTCTAATAATGCTGCCTCTTTTTAATATTTGTTTGTTGGTTTGTTTGTTTTAGAGAGAGAGGGCATGAGCAGGGGATAGAGGAAGAGGGAAGGGGGGAGAGGGAGGGAGGGAGACAGAGAGAGAGAGACAGACAGAGAGAGAGAGAGAGAGAGAGAGAGAGAGAGAATCTGAAGCAGGCTCCATGTTCAGTGTGGGGCCTGACAAGGGGCTGGATTCCACAACTAGGATCATTACAGGAGCCAAAACCAACAGTCAGTGGCTCAAATGACTGAGCCACCCTGGCACCCCTCCTATAGTACTGCCTCTTAATAGAAGGATGACACTGAATGAGGAATTCTTTAAGAGTGATTCTCTCTTTTGCTTTATTTTGTAGTAGAATCTGAATATCTATATTAAAGCCTCAAGAGGGGCGCCTGGGTGGCTTAGTCGGTTAAGCATCTGACCTCGGCTCAGGTCATGATCTCACAGTTTGTGGGTTCGAGCCCCACGTCGGCTCTGTGCTGACTGCCAGCTCGGAGCCTGGAGCCTGTTTCAGAGTCTGTGTCTCCCTCTCTCTCTGACCCTCCTCTGCTCACGCTGTCTCTCTCTCTCTAAGAAATAAATAAGACATTTAAAAAAATTTAAAAAAAAAGAATTGTTTTAGTTTGTTTTGATTCAGTTAAGAGTTCTATGGAAATAAATATGTAAATTAAGAAACATTAAAAAAGAAAAATCATTCAAATAATTTAAAAAAACTAATACATATATTTTTGTCTTTTTTGATAATAGCCAATATTATAATAACTATGTATGGTGACAGATGGAAACTAGATTTATCATGGGATCATTTGGTAATGTATAAAACTACTGAATCACTATGATGTGTACCTGAAACTAATATTGATACTGTACATCAATTCTACTTCAATTTAAATATGTACATACGAACATGAATAAGTAATTCCTAAGACATCTAAAGCAATAATCAAAACCAAAATCAAAGTTTACTCTCACTAATCCTAGAAATACAAATTAAGACTTTTTTTCACATACCGAATTTGCTATTTCAAAGAGTAAAATAGCCAATACTTCTGTACTTCCACTAACTTTTGGAAAAACTGATTTCTGCACAAAAATATGCACTGCAATGTTATTTCTAATAGTGAAAAATAAAATTTAAGTATCCAACATTAATGAAATTTTATATACCTGCTCAAAAAAGATAAGGTAAGTTTTTTGTTTTGTTTTTTTAACTTGTTTTTAAGTTTATTTATTTTGAGGGAAAGGGTGGGGCAGCAGGGGCAGAGAGAGGGGGAGAGAGAGAGGGAGGGTGGGAGAGAGAGTGAGAGAGGGAGGAAAAGGGAGAGAGAGAGAGAGGGAGGGAGAGGGAGAGGGAGAGGGAGGGAGAGGGAGAGAGAGAGAATCCCAAGCGGGTTCCACACTGTCAGCGCAGAACCAGATGCAGGGCTCAAACTCACAAATCCTGACATACGACCTGAGCTAAAACCAAGAGTCAGATGTTTAGCTGACTGAGCCACCCAGGTGCTCCAAAAAAGATAAGTTTATTTTTTTAAGTTTATTTATTTGAGAGAGACAGAGACAGCACGATGGGGAGAGGGGCAGAATGAGGGGCAGAGAGAGAATCCCGAGCAGTCTCCATGCTGCCGCACAGGGCCCAACACAGGGCTCAAACTCACAAAACCGTGAGATCACGACCTGAGCCAAAAGCAAGAGTCCGAAGCTTAGCTGACTGAGCCACCCAGGTGCTCCAAGATAAGTTTTAACAAATGTCTGTACCATATTAAAAATACAAAGGAAAAATGACTGGAAGGAAAAATCCCAAAATGATATCACAGTCACCTTTGGATAGTTGTTGTAAACCTTTTTCATTTTATACTTCTTAAGCTTCCAAACTTTCTGCAAAAAGTACTACTTTTAAAATCAAAGTATTTTTTTTAAATAGTTTAAGTTAGGGGCACCTGGGTGGCTCAGTCAGTTAAGTGTCCAATTCTTTCCCTTTTTATCCATGTTTATTTATTTATTTTGAGAGGGGGAAAAAAAGAGCACACACGTGGGCAGGTGAGGAGAGGGGCAGAGAGAGGATGAGACAGAGAATCCCAAGCAGGCTCCTCCCTGTTGGCCTGTTAGGGCAACCCCATGAACCATGAACGCATGACCTGAGTTGAGATCAAGAGTCCGACACTTAAATCAACTGAGCCACCTAGGTACCCCAGGTGTCCAACTCTTGATCTCAGCTCAGGTCTTGATCGCAGGGTCATGGGTTCAAGCCCTGTGCTGGGCTTCACAGTGGGCAAGAAGCCTACTTATACAGCTTAAGTTATAATTTATATTTGAAAGGACCTGTGCTTTGTGGGCCTTCAGAGTTTACTGTATGATATAATGGGAAGGAGTTTTCCAATGTAAGTTTTAAAAGTCCATCTGTACAGCCATTAAATGGAATGAGGCAAATGTGTATGTGGGAAAGAACAATCTCCAAAATTTATTATAAGGTGAAGAATAGTATATAAAAAACTTGCTTTCAAAAGGTATCTGGGTTGCTCAGTCGGTTAAGCGTCCGACTTCTGCTCAGGTCACGACATCACGGTTCATGAGTTTGAGCCCCGCATCGGGCTCTGTGCTGACAGCTCGGAGCCTGGAGCCTGCTTTGGATTCTGTCTCCAGTCTCTCTGCCCCTCCCCCGCTCACACCCTCCCTCCCTCTCTATCAAAAAAATGAATAAACATTAAAAAATTTTTTTAAGTATTTTCATTTGTGTAGAAAGACTATATACCCACTCACACATACACTTTCATATGCACAGACCTTTTTAGAATATACAAATGAATGAGTATGTAAGTTCCTCTAGGAAAGGGAACTAGGAACCCAAATATAGGAAAGAAAGGAAACTTCAATTTTACTGTATTTCTTCTTGGTCCTATCTAGCAAGTTAGTGCATGAGTAGTAAAAAAAAAAAAAAAAAAAGAAAGAAAGAAAGAAAGAAAGAAATTAAGTAAAAACAGTCATTTTAAAAAGTGTACACACAAAGGTTCACCTCACAGTGATACAAACCACAATTTGGATACTGTGGTTACAAAAAAACTTTTGTTACCTCAATTTATAATGAAGTAATTAATGTTACAGCCTTGAGAATAAGACAAAGGCTTAAATTTGAAAAACCTGAAATCACAACACATCCGTATCTTTTGTACTAGCGGCTATTACATTATTTAGACCCACAAATCAAATTTTAACAATCACCTACTTGGACTTCTACTGAGCAACTAGAAAGATTAGGATTTTAAACGTTTGGATAATTGCCCCCACTGAGAAGATAAATGTTAAATTTATAACATTCTGATACCTATTTTATAATGCGGACTTACCAGGCGGTTGGTCTTGACTTGGGTTTAACTTGGGTTCATTTCCCAAGTGTGAATCTGACTTTGGTTTCAGTTTCAAAGCAGGAAAGAATTTCATCATGAGATCTGACGTAGGAGGGCTTGTGCTCCTACTGGACTTCCTCAAGTCTTCTCCCTTCCTGACTGGTGCAACCTTCCTTTTCATTGTTTTGTCTGGTACACATATTTCATTCTTATTAGGGGAGGCTGTCTGAGGAGCCCCATTAGTGGCCTCAGTCCCAAGAACAGTATCATGTATAAATGAATTCTCTTCAAGGTCAGTCCAAGTTCTTTCATCATCAAAGTCAATTTTACTCATACTCACAGCTGAGGGTCTTCTTGGGGACTCAGACACTTTATTTTTCAAGCTTTCTATTATGATAGACTAATCACTACTGTAATCTTTATCAGACAAATCTAAATCAACATCTCTCCTTTGATCTTCTTGAGTTCCGGCATCCCAAAAAGGCCCCTTCCCATCACAGACTTGTGGACTGTCCTCTCTGCTGCTGAAACCCCTCTCTCTATCATCGGTTGATGGTTTTATGGTAACATCAAGTTGTTCCTCGGAGTCAGTGCTACTGTCACTGTCCATGGCACCTTCGTCATCACTGCCATTCCACGGAGTCTGATTTTCAGAAGTGCTAGTCTGGAATGCTTTCCTAATGACTTTACAAGACTGCTCCCTATATCCTTCAGGTGAGGACACGGATTCAGGCTGTTTGGGTGAGACCTCACACTCCCCCACATTTTCAGGTTCAGTATAGTCTGGAGCCTCATTGCGGTTACACTGAATAACAGGATCCAGTGCCACGATCTTCTCCTGCTGTACGGCTTTGACAGGGGTGGAAGACAGTCGGTGCCCTTTGCAGATCTGCTGGTCCCTCTCTAAGATTTTCAGTACAAATGAGGAATTACTAGAAAATGATATTTCATCAGCAGCTTGCTCCAAAAACAAAAATTCATCTAACTCCAAATTTTCCTTTTCCTTTTCTTGTTCCCAATTCTCTAACTTTTTCTGAAGAGAAATGTCAAGAGAAGATTCTGACTTTTTCAAGGTCTCATTTATTGGGTTCTTAGAAGCCACGCAGCTGACCAGCCCAGCTGAAAGAGGAAGTCTGTCTCTACCTGGTGTCTTATTCCCAACTTTGCATCCAATATCACAAGGTTTTGCACACTCGGGTACATTTTCTCTATTATTAGATTCAACTTTTTTTTCTAATTTGATCTGGTCTTTAAATTGCCCATCACATTTCTTCCCTGCTGGTATTTTCAATCCTGATGGAGAAGGACTTTTCCTGTTGTTACTCTTAAGCACTTTTGGCTTCTGACTAAGCGTGACAAAACCACTGTTGGCCTTAGTTTTATTGTTCTTTTTAACAGGAGGGTTCTCTGTACACAGTTCTTTATTTATTAGAGCAGTTTTCCGCTGGAATTGCTGTCTATCCATTTTAAACATAGGTTGGTCCTCTGAAATGCTCTGATTAGGCGCTAGTTTACTTTCTCTCCCTTTCTGAGACTTAGATTTAGCATTAGTAAATCTAGCTAAACCTTCTCCTCGTTTCAAGAATGGTTGTTTTGGCTTTGGTTTGATTAGCAATGATCCTTCTGCTTCCTAAAACAAAGAATATCTGAATTAATTCTGGTATATCCAAGTTATCTCAAAGTCATTTTTTAAAGCAGATTATAAATAAATCTCTAAAGCCTCAGCTAACTTAATCAAAATAGTGGAGATGCCTACCCTTAGCTGTTTTCGTTTCAGTTCTTGTTCTTCCAGTCGAATTTGTTCTTCTAAGTAGTCTTCAAATGTCTGTTTCCTTTCTCTGATAGCAGCTTTAATAGGCCTAATCATAAAAATAAAGTTATTTAGCATGCGAATCAAGGTGTGGTGAATATCTGCCTTAGTGTGCCTGACAGAGACACCTTGACTACACTGAGAACTGTCTTCAAAGTCACAGACCTCGTATAAGAATCCAATGAAAGCTTCACCTACCACATCCCCCCAAATACAGAAATTTACAACACTTTACACATGATTTGAGAAACAAAGACAAAAACAAAAATCCTTCTGAAGTCCATTTATTGCCTCTAGATTATTTAACTTTTATATTTTGAGGGGCTCCTGAGTGGCTCAGTCGGTTGAGCGTCCAACTTCGGCTCAGGTCATGATCTTACAGTTTGGGAGCTTGAGCCCCGCGTCAGGCTCTGTGCTAACAGCTCAGAGCCTGGAGCCTGCTTTGGATTCTGTATCTCTCTCTGCCCTCCCTCACTCACACTCTGTCTCTCAAAACTGAATTTTAAAAATTCATTAAAAAAATAAATTATTAAAAATAAAATATATTTTGAAAATACTTCATCAAGTATGTACTTTCTTTAAGAAAGATCCTTGACAGGGGCACCTGGGTCGCTCAGTCGGTTAAGTGCTGACTTCAGCTCAGGTCACAATCTCACAGCTTGTGAGTTCAAACCCTGCGTCACGCTCTGTGCTGACAGCTGGAAAAAAACTCCCACTCTCTCTGCCCCTCCCCTGCTCACACCCTGTCTCTCTCTCTCTCTTAAAAATAAATAAACATTAAAAATTAAAATTAAGGGCATTTGGGTGGCTTAGTCAGTTAAGCGTCCGACTTTAGCTCCGGTCATGATCTCACAGTTTGTGGGTTCGAGCCCAGTGTCGGGCTCTGTGCTGACAGCTAGCTCAGAGCCTGGAGCCTGTTTCAGATTCTGTATCTCTCTCTCTCTCTCTGACCCTCCCCTCTTCATGCTCTCTCTCTCTCTCTCAGAAACAAATAAAACATTAAAGAAAATGTTTTTAATAAAAATTAAAAAAAAATCCTTGACAATGTAAACAGAGCAATAATCAGAAGTCATTTGTCCATCCATAACATATATTAAAATATCAAATATTTAAGAAAATAAGAAACAATCTCAATACTGATATTTTATATTTGTCATAAGATTTTTAAATTCTGTAACTAAACTTACCCAATTATAATTTATAAGTGACACCAAAAGTGAGACTCAGTATTAATTTGTTTTTGTCTTTGCCAAATAGGACTTACCTATTTGAGAGAAAATTAATTTTATCTAGATTTTTTTCTCTTTGGTGAAAAAGTTTGCTCAATTCCTCCAAAACAATGCAAAGCTATCTGAACTGATATATCCCTCCGGCCACTGTCTGTTGCTGACAATATATGATAAGTTGTAGCTTCAACATTATACTTAAAAGCATATTCAAGCAAAAACAAGAAAACCATGGGTTTTTAAAAAGAAAGTGCTCTACCATAATAGCCGGCTGTTACATTAAACTGTCACACTTATTTCTCTCAACACAGATGATACCTTTCTTCAATATTAGCCACTTCTGAAGAATCACCAATTTTTTTTAAGTTCACATCTTTCCCTTCCTGATTAACTTCAGTCACTTTTGTCACTTTCTCCCAACATGGTAAAATACCTTCTCCTAGGATAAAAATTACAAACAATTTAGTTCCAAAAATAAAGAATAACATCTTAAAAGCTGCAAATTTTATAAGTTACTATGCTAAAATAACATTTATCAAAAGTAATATATGCCAAAGATTTTAGAACCTTCAAGGATTTCTTTATTATGGCTTCTTTATATGACTTTTTAATATGATTTCTTTAATATAAGATAAACTACAAAACCCTAACTAAAACAGGACACTCTTCACAAGGTTAATGTTATGAAAAAATATGGGCTTTTCTAAAAATTTTTTTTTGTTAGTGTTTTATTTATTTCTGAGAGAGAGACAGCGTAAGCAGAGGAGGGTCAGAGAGAGAGGGAGACAAGAGAATCTGAAACAGGCTCCAGGCTCTGAGCTGTCAGCACAGAGCCCAACGTGGGGCTCGAACCCACGAACTGTGAGATCATGACCTGAGCCGAAATCAGACACTTAACCGACTGAGCCACCCAGGTGCCCCATGGGCTTTTCTAAATTAAAAAAGACTAGGAGTGCCTGGGTGGCTCAGCAGGTTAAGCATCAGGCTCTTGATTTCAGCTCAGGTCATGAATTCATGGTTTGTGGGATCAAGCTCCACTTCCGAATCCACACTGACAGCCTGGAGCCTGCTGGGATTCTCTCTCTCCCTTTCCTGCTCAGGAGCACACACTCTCATACTCTGTCTCTCTCAAAATAAATAAATAAATGTTTAAAAAATTAATTAAGTAAAAAAGACTAAAAAGAGAGCTGTAACAATCAAATATAACAGATGAACTGGTGTGTTCCTGGTTTAAAAAAAAAACATATTTGGGATAGTAATGGGAATTCTAAAGTGAATTTAAATATTAAGGAATAGTATTTGACTTATAGATAACATCCTAATTTTTACTTGATGCGTGCTGAAATATTTGAAAATGACATAACATAATGCCTGCATGTTACTTGCAATGAAATGACTGAGCAAATTACATATAAATGTAGACAGACATACAGATGTAGGTACAGATATACATACATACACAGAAAAATACATAGACAAAGTAAATATGGCAAAATATTAACTTTTGAATCAAGGTCTATTGCTAATCATTGCAGTGGTCTTTCAACCTTTCTGAATGTTTGAAATTTTCCAAAATAAAAGATTAAGAGAGTGTACTGCTTAAGAATTTTTAAAAAGGCATGTGACCTTTCCATATTCTAAATTAGAAATATTATACACCAAGGTGTCCAATCCTAAGTAGTAAGGGTAGACACCTTTTCTCATATTTTCTGTACTTTTTTAGAACTTTCTCCAAAGAACATTTTCATGAAAAGACCATCAAAATTGAAAACAAAATTTAAATTAAAAATTATCAGAAACAACTCAACCCTATTGCAAAGAACATTAAATACTGACATAATTATTTGATGACTAGCATAATGATGACAACCATTTAAAATTATGGTTATGAGGGGCGCCTGGGTGGCTCAGTCAGTTAGGCATCTAACTTCGGCTCAGGTCATGATCTCACGGTCCGTGAGTCAAGCCCCTCATAGCCTGGAGCCTGCTTTCAGATTCTATGTCTCACTCTCTCTCTGATTCTCCCCTGTTTGCACTCTGTTTCTCTCTCTCTCCAAAATAAACATAAAAAAAATTTAATTATGGTTATGAAACCATGGAATGTATCATTATGTTTGAGTAGGAAAACTCAAACACATGTTATTGTCCATCTTGGCTGGGAAAGAACACAGTTATACAATATTCTACGGTTATAAAATGCAAAAAAAAAAAAAAAAAAAAAAAAAAAAAAAAAAAAAAAAAAAAAAAAAAAAAAAAGTGGAGGGGGGAATGGGGCACAGAAACAGTACTTAAGAAAAAAAAAAAAAGACCAGAAGAAAATACACCAGAAATGCCACAGACCTCCATGAGTTTAGACCATCAGACGCGGCCAGTTCTCTGGCAAAAATATGTTGAGTATTAGGAATTCAGGGGTACAGTGAGGACAAACCAAGCGTCTGGGGTTGGAGGGAATTTCTCTTCTGAATAATAACTGCCATCACCAACCTATTTCTCACATTTCACATCTTCTATCATGTGTCCCCCCAACCCGCATACGTTATTACATCAACTTCAAACTGTTTCTAAGATCTCAAAGAAAAATGGTACACACAGAGCCCACTGCCTCCCTTTTTGAAGACCCCATGCTGCTACCCTAAGTACTGTGACTGTTCTTAGAAAGTCACAAATTCTTTGTCCAACCCAGACTCAATGGCTATGCAACATGTAGGGACTCACAAATAAAGCCACAGGCACAGGGGACAGGAAAAAAAAATGCAGAAAGAACTTTTCTTGTCTTAGCACAGCTTGGTAACACTGCTAGTTAAGTACAGAAGAGAGAAATATAAGTGACTCACCAATAGAATGGTTATGGTTTTCTTCCTTCAAATCATGTTTTTTCACAAGTGTTTCTTGACACTGTGCCTCACAAAACAAAGTGAGGGGAGCACCACTTTTTGTAGTTAAGACAAAATCTGGATGACTAGTTCTACAGAAGTTGTTTTGTTCATCAGATAAAATGTTGGAAGTGTGTGTTTTTCCTTGGGTTTGATTCTGGTAGACATGTGAAGGCAGGAAGGGTGAGGTTTTCTCTACGGTGGTTGAATTTCCTGGAGATCTATACTTCTGGCTCTGATCGTCAGTCAGTAGGGTTAAACCTTGCAATTAAAAAATTGTTGAAAAAGGAAAAAAAACTATCAAAACTAATGACTTCCTAGAACATTTTCACTTCTACCTGTTAGTGATCCCTACCCACCAGGTTTTCTCCAAAGTGACACAAGTATTTTTTCCTCCTTATTAGGAAACTCTGTTTAACAAAATGATGACATTTTACAAGTCCAAAAAGACTGCTGCATAATTTGAATTAAGGGCATGTTTACACGATAATTCAGGTGCAGACCACGTAGACCTGGCAGAGCTGCAGCACAGCCTGATTCTGTAAGGCATCATTCATCTTCCTTCTGCGAGAAGCACTGCTGAATCATCAGCTCTGCAGCCCCATGACTAACACAAAGAGCGCCGATGCAAACAGCTGTACATGATCTGAATAGTTCCCTGATGACAACTGCCCTGTGTCACAGCCTATAAAAGCACTTTACCTATAGATTACAGTTAACATTTTGATATCTTCAGGTGGTAAAATTATATGTGACTTTTCTATTTTGCATTTCTCTGCAGTTTCTAAATTCTCTGTATTCCTTTTTGCCTGTTATTTTAAACCTCTATTTGAAATAAACACAGAGCATGGATGACTCGGTCAGTTGAGAGTCTGTCTCTTGATTTCAGTCCAGGTCACGATCTCATGGTTGATGGGATCAATCAAGCCCTGTTTCGGGCTCTGCGCTGAGAACATGCAGGCTGCTTAGGATTCTCTCCCTCACTCTCTTCCCCTCCCCTGCTCATGCATGCTCTCTCTCTCTCAAAATAAATAAACTTTTAAAAAGAAAAATAAATAAACAGAGATTCTCCTTCTATGTATATCTCTAAGATATTCTCGGAGGGGAGATGGCAATACTCCAGCCTGTGTGCTACACCATCCCCTTGAAATCCTGCCACTATCTCTGTCTTCTCTCAGTGTCTCAACTAAACTTAGTGAGGGGGAACCAGGGTGCCTGGTGGCTCAGTCAGTTGAGCATTCAACTTTGATCCAGGTCATAATCTCACAGCTCCTGAGATCAAGCCTCATGTTGGGCTCTGTGCTGACAGCTCAGAGCCTGGAGCCTGCTGCAGACTCTGTGTCTCCCTCTCTCTCTGTCCCTCTCCAGATCATACTCTGTGTCTCTCTCAAAAATAAATAAAAAACATTTTAAAAATGTAAAATGTTTAAAAAAAAAAAAAGTGAAGGGATACATAGCTGGCTCCGTCAGTAGGGCATATGACTCTTGGTCTCAAGATTGTGAGTTTGAGCCCCAAGTTGAGCATAGAGATTACTTAAAAATGAAATCCTTAAAAAAAAAAAAAAAGAGGGGTGAGGGCACCCAGGTAGCTCAGTCAGCTGAGCATCTGACTCTTGATTTCGGCTCAGGTCAGGATCTCAGGGTTTGTGTGTTCCAGCCCCGCACTGGGCTCTGCGCTGACTGCGTGGATCCTGCTTGGGATTCTGTTGCTGTCTCTCTGTCCCTCTACTGCTCACACTCTCTTTTTCAAAATAAATAAATATTTTAAAATATATAAGTAAACATATTAAAGAAGAGAGGACACAACGTGAAGTGTCTTATAAAAGAGCCACACCACCTACCTGTCAAACCCGTCTGCCTCACCCTCAGACCACAAATAAAACTGGAAATCAGACAGGTCTTCATTGACTATGAGGTTTGACCTCCCTTCCTTTATAACAATACTCTCCTCATCCAAATATTTTTTTAAGTTTATTTATTTTGAGAAAGAGAGAGGATGAGTTGGGGAAGGGCACAGAGACAGGGAGAGAAAAAGAATCCTAAGCAGGCTCTGCACTGTCAGTGGAGAGCCCAATGCAGGGCTTGAACCCACAAGCCATGAAATCATGACCTGAGCCGAAATCAAGAGTCAGAAGCTCAGACAACTGGACCACTCAGGCGTCCCCAAATATTTCTAATAGTTACCTGACTTCAGACTGAAGATGTCTTTGATAAAAGTCAATATCCCAAGGTAGCAGTTCTCAAAGTATGGTCTGTAAACCCCTGAAGGTCTCTAACATTCTTTCAGTGCATCCACAAGGTCAAATCTACTTTCATCGAATATTAACGTAATACTTGTCTTTTTTACTTTGCCGACTCCTACACTAGTGGTACAAGAGCAAAACGGAAACTCGAGGTGCCTTCACTCAAAATCAGGACAAGACAGTGGCACCCAACTCTGCTAGTAGTCACTGTATGAGTCACCACCAAGCACCTGCAGTTAAAAACAAAACAAAACGAAATGAAAAAACAGGGGTACCTTGGTGGCTTAGTCAGTTGAGCGTCCAACTCTTGATTCTGGCTCAGGTCATAATCCTGGGATCAAGCCCCACATCAGGCTCCATGCTGGGTGTAGAACCTACTTAGGATTCTCTCTCTTCCTCTGCCCCTCTCCCCTGCTCGTGCTCTCTCTCAAAAAATAAACAGTTTTATTTAAGAATGTCCTAGATAGGCGTGCCTGGGTGGTTCAGCTGGTTGAGTATCCAACTTTTGGTTGTGGCTCAGGTCATGATCTCACAGCCGTGAGATTGAGCCCCACGTCGGGCTCTGTGCTGAGCATGGAGCCTGCTTGGGATTCTATCCCTCCCCAGTGCATTCTTTTAAAGAAAAAAAAAAAAAAGTCCTAAAGTTGCAAGAATTATTAATTTTTAAACTGAATTTGAACTGTTGAGTTCAAATGTCTTTTGAACATTCTACAGGACAAAACAAAAAGTATGCATAAATCACTTCTACAGCAAACCAAGACATGGCTTGGTTTGAGCTGTAAGCTTGACTAGCCACTTCTCTCAAAGAACATCATTTTTACTTGAAAGAATAAATGACCAAACTGTCATGATTCCAACCTTTGTACTCAGCAAGTAAGTTCTCAAAAATTAAACAACTGTGGGGCGCCTGGGTGGCTCAGTCGGTTAAGCATCCGACTTCAGCTCAGATCTTGATCCCACGGTTCGTGGGTTCGAGCCCCGCGTTGGGCTCTGTGCTGACAGCTCAGAGCCTGGAGCCTGTCTTTAGACTCTGTGTCTCCCTCTCTTGCTGACCCTCCCCTGCTCACGCTGTCTCTCTCTCTCAGAAATAAATAAAACTTAAAAAAAATTTTTTTAGGGGTGCCTGGGTGGCTTAGTCGGTTAAGCGTCTGACTTTCGCTTAGGTCATGATCTCGCGGTTTGTGGGTTCGAGCCCCGCGTCGGGCTCTGTGCTGCCAGCTCAGAGCCTGGAGCCTGTTTCAGTCTGTGACTCCCTCTCTCTCTGACCCTCCCCTGCTCACGCTGTCTCTCTCTCTCTCTCTCAGAAATAAATAAAACATTAAAAAAAATTTTTTTTAATTTTTTTTAAATTAAACAAGTGAGCCAGTCACTTCAAAGAAAATAACTGACAATACTTAAGAATAGTAAAATATTAAGTTTCAAGTAAAAATTAGAATGTACTAAACATGTCTACCACCGTGAGCTTGACAGCTTCCTAACACTTCAAGACTTTAAAAAAAAAAGACTTAAAATTTTTTTTTAATGTTTATTTGTTAGAGAGAGAGAGAGAGAGAGAGGGAGGGAGAGCACCAGTTGGGGAGGGGCAGGGGCAGAGAGACAGAAGGAGGCAGAGGATCTCAAGCACCTCGGTGCCAACAGCAGAGAGCCCAATGCGGGCACGAACTCAAGAACCGCCGAGATGGTAACCTGAGCCGAAGTCACACTCAACCAACAGGGCCACCCAGGCTACTTCAAGACTTTTACGATGAGATCTGTAGTGGTATTAATAGATATAATTTTTTGATATTATATAATGAAATATATTTAAATATACCTTAAAAACGTACATAACTCAGTGAACCACTACTTTGCAAATAACCAGTGCACAATTTTACTAATCACGCATGATAAAAGAGCCATTCAAAATGCCAAGATATTCCAATATAGACTCTATACTGTGAATTACCACTAAGAAATGGCCACTTGTTAGGTTTGGGTGCAATATCAAAGAAATAACTACAATTATCTGAAAAGGCTATTACAGTACTCTTCTTTCCTTTTTCCAGTTAAACATCCACGTGAGGCCGAATTTTTTTTCATAGGCTTCAACCAAAACAACGTAACTTAAGAGAATGAATGCAGAAGCAGACAGGAAAATCAGCCATAAGTTAACAAAGATTTCCAAAAATATAAAAGTATGTCATTCTTCTAATTTTTTGGAAAAGCCTCTTCATTAAACAGTTAGTTATGATAACATGTAACTGGTTATTATTTTAAGTGAATTAGTTTTTATATTTCTCCATTTTACTTTTTGACATGGTAAATATCAGCAGCCATATAACTATTTCAAGACACACACCATGTTCTCTACACTAACATCCCAATTCCCTAAGCCATTCTTCATTTGATACATTTCTCATCACTACCACTACTACTCCCAGAATCCCATCTAGCTACTCTGCACATCCATCTGCCGATGTCTTTTATTCTCTGTATTCTCAATGCCCGACGCAACCTCTGAACAGAACAGGCACTTTCGTAAATCAGCAGTGTGTCTCTGAAAAGGTGGCACCAAGAAGCAAACACGCTGCTCCAGACCACTGTTTCTCAAACTGTGGGATACAATCCATTAGTAACTATATGATTGGAATCATGACTGGTATTTTTTTCAATGAATGAGATGAGGATAAAATACATAGAAAACTCCTTTACTACATGCCAGGCACACCAATAAAGACTGATTTATGAAATTTGTTTAAAATTATGAGCCACGATTTTAAATGTTTTTGCTATAATGCGGAATGGTCAAACAACTCACAAAATCACTGCTAGAGATCAAATTTCAACAGGTTTACTGTCTCCAGATAAGCACATCATGCTTTCTTTTATCTAGTGTACAACAAAAGATCTGTCATCTACCACCGCAGAAAATATTTTCGGTATGGTTCCTCTGCTGCCCAGAGTGGCCTTTACATCTATTTACCATTATGACCCTGAGGAGTTTATCTTTCTTTTTTTTTTTTTTTTAAGAAATAAAGA